TTTCCCTACTAAGAAAAGGTGAAAATGCCTAATGTAAATAAACTAATCACACAGCTTCCCTTTTATCCATCACTTGACTAAATGCCCATTTCCTACATTCATTGAAAATATTTCATGTATTTAAAAGTTTTAAATGGTGATATGGTTGTAGACAAGAAATAAATAACATTTCTAACAAAGTATCAGAAAGCTTCAGATTTCTATTTTCATCCTTATTAAAATAATATTTATTATTTCAAATGACATGATACTAGAAGTTGGCCAATAACAGTTCTAAGTATAAAAATATTTGACAAAAGCCCAGTAGTGTATAAAACTGCAATAAAAAATATACTGCATTAAACTAAAAACATGAATGCTATAACACCATTAAAAAACGGAATAAAATTATACTGGCTTAGACCTCACTAATATAAAATAGGAATTTACCCCTGAAGTCTTATTTATATTATGAAACTGCTTATAAAGCCATTCTGAATAACTATTTCTGAAATTATGGTTAATCTATCTACACATAAACCTACTTTTTTCAAACATTCTAGATCATCCACTGCAGGCAACTAAATGCTATTTTAAAATGCATATTACCCTTAAGGAGGACCTTCAAAATCCCTATTTAACAGCACAAAGCTACAACCTCAATACAACCCAGTTTTATAGATATGGGTATTGAAATTCAGAAAGAGTAAGCAGAATTTTCAAGATCTTAAAATTATTATTTAGTGATAGTATCTGTTTTGAATGCAGGCGCACTGATCCCTGAGCCTAAAATGTTAAACATGAAACCCTATTGCTTCCTGTCAGGCACTGTTATAATTTTTTCCATTTTAAACTTTAAAGCTCAAAGAATTTTATGATAGTTGAGTACTATATATTATCTTAGTCTTTAGATAAGAAAACTAAGGCCAAGAGAGTAATTGACTTGTCTAAAGCACCAATCTAGGAAACGGTGGAACCTGCATTTGAACCCAGGCATTCTGACTCCAGAGCCCATCGTCTTAAACACCAAGCAATACTGCTTTCTTACATGCCAACCTGCAATATAAAAAATAAGGGAAAGCTATGTGAGCAAAGTAATATAGCTCACTATGTCTATTATGAGAAAATATTTTATGGGTTAGCTTTTATATACATCAAAAGATAGGAACTGATTCTAGCTTTCTTCAGAATAAATATATAAATCATAAAACGAATAATTTTTTTTATTCAAGATACTTTTTGAAATAGTCTAAAGTTCGTTTTAACACTATGCTGAGAAACCAAAATCAATGGTACATCCCTAAATGCCATGTTTGAAAAGTTAATAAATAAAAGTTTAAAAAAGTATTCTATAAAACAGTATGTTGATGCTCATTAGCAATGCTTGATTAAATATAGATAAGGTTTCTGTGAGCAATATAATCCTCTATATGAATTACCTAAAGACAAAATGCAAAGCAAAAAAGAGTACAAGGCATAATCTTTCACCAAAAAATAACAAAAAGTTAGGTTACCTAATATTAATAATTATTTGTTACTTATATTTAACTACCTTTAGTAGCTATCTTTACCATATATTTAGAAATGAATATATATATTTGCAAAAGGTAAATTTGT